TTTACGACCCATGTTGTTGGTGTCTATTGGTGGTTTCGCAAGGATGACCTCTTGTATCCCTTAATCATGCTGCCTCCCAAGGCCATACCACCTTTCTGGCATGCCATTTTCATCATAGTGGTGAATGGTATGTAGTACCTTCTCTGCCATGTTGTTTCCCTTGTCCTAATGAGTCTCATTCCTTCAACTATCAATTAATATCATCTTTATCTTATCATCACTAAAAATATTTGTCATGCACTATTCCCTCTGTGTTTCATTGCATTATCCTGTTGGATCATTTAGTGCTTACACGACTTGTACGTGTGCCCTATTTTCCTCAGATACACTTGTCCGGCAGGCTTCAATGATATTCAAGTGTTTTCTGTTGATGTACTACAAGAACAGTAGGGGTCGAAATTATCGTAAACAGGTGATGCAGGAAAAAGCTTATTTGTCTGTCCTCTTTAACTGAAATCAGTTTAACGTGGCCTGGCTCACTGTGCGTCTGTGTGATAAACCTTGAGACTTAACTTTGTATGCAGGGTCAGTTGCTAACTTTGGTTGAATATTTGATGCTTCTGTATCGCTCTTTGCTGCCTACCCCTGTATGGTACCGTTTCTTCTTGAACAAGGATTATGGAAGCCTCTTCTCGTCTCTTATGACGGGATTGTATCTGACTTTCAAGCTCACTTCAGTAGTTGAGAAGGTAGGTGTTTTCTCTAGCCTCCTTTTTATTTATTTTCTGGATAGCAGCTGAGGGGAAATTGGCAATCAATTTCAGGTTCAATCCTTCTTTACGGCATTGAAGGCTTTGTCACGTAAAGAGGTGCACTATGGATCGTATGCAACTACAGAGCAGGTACAGTTTAGTTTCTTGCAGATTCAAATCCAATTCAAGCCCAAACAAGCACTGAAGTGGCTTTCTAATGTGTGCAGGTCAATGCGGCGGGCGACTTGTGTGCTATTTGCCAGGAGAAGATGCACACCCCAGTTCTTCTTCGCTGCAAACACATGTTTTGCGAAGATTGCGTTTCAGAGTGGTGAGGTGTTTTGTGCATATTAGCAGTTGTTCTTTGTGTGTGAATTTGGATGTTATTGAAGGAATGTGATCATGACTGGGCAGGTTTGAGAGAGAAAGGACGTGTCCTCTGTGCAGGGCCTTGGTCAAACCAGCAGATCTGAAGTCATTCGGCGATGGCTCCACCAGCCTTTTCTTCCAGATATTCTGATTAAAACACATACAAGACCCTCAAGTAAAAAGACTCACTTACTAGTCTTCTTAGAAAGTATTTATTATATACAATTTGAGCTGTGAACGAAAGACACACCACTGATGCCTTTAAGATGTTTATACAATCTCATTTGTTAATATGAAATCGCCTTTTTATGTATATTCCGTCGCAAAAAAAATGAATTAAGAGAGCTGGAGCAGGACAACAACAGACAAACAAGAATAAAAACGATGAAATCAAGGATCCGAAACCACATTTACACACACAGAGCTCTCTTGAATCTCTTTAATCATCTCTTCTTCACTCGGGGAACAAGTCATCAAAGTGGGTACAAAAGGGTAAACTTGTGTCACCTCTTCACTGCCTTGGTCTATGTACACAAGGTCCTGCATCGTGAGCTGGTGGTACTCTACAATCTCCCGCAAGAACCGGTTCTCCCTTGCGTACACTGAGTTCTCATGAGCCAACCGTGCTTTCTCTGCTAGTAGGCTCTCCATCTGGAGCCGAATCTGATAACAAAAGCATACACCACCCGAGTTGTTAGATGGAGTGCTAAATTAGGACATGAAATGGATCACTCAATTCTTTACCAAATCTTCGTCTGCAGGGTTGCTTCCTTTCTCACGGTGGTTCTCCCTCAGATGCTTGTTCTCTTCTTCAAGCTGAGCACAACGCTCTTTCGCGAATGCAAGATCTGCCTTCACAGTTCTCAGCTCACGGAGGAGCAATTTTGCTTTAGCAGCCGTGGCCATCGCCACCTGCACGCACGAAACTTATGTTCGAATAAAGCCATCATAAACCATCAAATCAAGAGTAGAGCGAGTGGACCTTACATCGCGAGATGCCTTGAGTTGAGTCTCATGTTCCGTATGATCTGACTGCAGTGGCTGCTCCGGAGACTTTTTCCATGAGCTACTGACTCCATACGATTGATTGTGATTCTGATTATCTTCTTGACCACCAGTTGCTCTTCGTCTGGTTTGAAGTTTTCGTGTTTCCTGGATGATATCAGCTGTTTTGTTCCCCACGAGTGTCCGCCCTTCCTGGAGAAACAAGGAACAGATATATAAGGCAATCAACCAAGTCCAATACAATAGAGGGAGAGAGACAGAAAAAAAGAAGAAGAAGCAAAACCTCAAAGGCTTTCTCAAAAGAGTCGCCAATCTGATTAAGAGAAGATGTAAGCTTATCCAGCCCTCTCCGGAGCTTGGGATTGTCCATTTTCTGGTCTGAGAACCGGGACTAGAAAACCATGAAGACGTCAAAATCAAAAGGATGGATCATGTTCATCTATGTAGTTGAAATCAGCAAAAACAAAACCTGAGAAGCTGTTGATGAGCTATCATTAACAGATTTTGCTTTCTGGGCTATGACTCCCCACAAGCCCCTTGGCTCGGTCTCGTATGCTGTAAAATCCTGCCCCACAGAAAAACATAGGATCAATGGGGGATGAAAGATGACTAACTGCAGTTTATAATCACAACTTTGGATCAAGGCTATATCTAAGCATCAACACCTTCTCGACCTGAGCTGTGATCGTATCAGGAAGTTGAGCTTTAACAGAATCACAAGTCTAAATATTAGTCAAAGAGCAATGAGTTGAGGGTCAAAAAGGAGAAACCTTAGATCTGGGTTGATCAAAAGCAGGGGACTCACGGAAGAATGAAGGCGATGTGAAGGATCGAGTCGGAGATGATCTTTCCTTGACAGGGGTGATGCTTTCCGGCGGAAGGTGATCAGTCTCGTCCTTGAAAGTTGCAAACTTTCCGATCCCCTGCCTTCTCCTATACGCCATAATTTAGGTTCCAAGTCTCTCTATTTTCTTCTCTTTATTTGTTTGCTTTTTCGGTTTCTTCTTCTGCAAAACAAGTTACATTAGAAGGACAAATTGTTGGATGCGGACCCACGAGGCTCGAAAGAAGGCAATGATTTATTTAGTCTTTGTGCAATGGCCCCTGCGACAACTCGACAGAATCTGAATTGGCAATGGGTTTTTTCCTTTAAAGTAATCAGCTTTCCATGGATGAATGTGTGTGTGCATTCCTATCAAAAGCTTTGAAACCATCCATGAACCATCTCAAACCCGTCTGATAATAATACATTGAAAGCTTTTTATCTAGTGCTATACAGCAGCAACATTTTGAGCTATCGACCCAAGCTTGTCTGAGAACATGATCATCAATCTCTGAATGCATAGACAGATTTCTATCACTCGGCTTCAATATCTCTTACACTTTATTGCTAACTATGTGGCATGGCTTTTGATGATTTACAAATAGACCTAGATTTTGGATTTACTGGAGGCTTCATCTATGCAGAATGCTTTATTATGTCCCTTTATCTGTGAGAAGTTTACTTAAGGTAGAATTTCAGGAAATTAGCAGAGGAGACCTTCTTGATGATTCGGAGACTTCGGTTTCTAATGGTAGATACTAGATAACGTCAAAGAAGATGGTTTATACTTTCCCCACCCGTCGTCGCGGTTGACCCCTTCCCAGTTCCCACAGACTCTCTCTCTCTCTCTCTCTCTCTCTCTCTCTCTCTCTCCATTTTCTTCTTGCATCTCCCTCTCCGAAAACATCCGGCCGTTTGGGTAAATCTTTTTTTGTTTCTTCTGATTTCTGAAATTTCGAGCGTGGGTGTATCCAACCGGCTGCTTCGTATGTGTGATGTGATCTAAGTCTAACCCTGCTTCTTCTTTTTTTTTTTTATGTATTTCCCCCTTTTCAGACCTCAAAGTTTCCGATCCGATGGATCCACACCCTCAGGGTCCTCCCATCGATACCGATTCCATCCCATCTTCGGCGGCGTGCAATCTGTGTGGAAGAGTCCTTCAATCTGCTTCCGATGATCTTGAAATCTTCAGCTTATGTGGAGACTGTAAGTTTTTGCTGCTTGAAGATTTCGGCACCCCCGCGCCTCCCTTGACCCGGAGGCAGACGGCTAGAAGGAGGAGGAGCAGCAGGAGGAGAAGGACAAGTAGGCACGGCAGCTCTGAATCTGTCGGTGATCTTTCCTCCCAACAGTTGACACATTTGATAAGACAAAGCCTTGAGACTAGCTCCCATACCACTCCCAGTGGTTCCACAAGGTGGAGACTTTTCTCTGAATCTGAAAGTGAAGATTTTGAAACCTTGGATTCTCGCTACGGCGAGACCGAATCAAACGCTAGTTTTAGCCTCTACAGGTTTCCCCATGGTGATAATGATGCCATTTCTTTTAGTGCTTACGGTGGAGAGTCTGATGCTTCGGCGGACAGGGACAGGAGCGACATTGACTTTGACACTGATATTGACCCCATGCATGCTGGTCTGAACCAGTGGAACTCAGACGAGGAAGACAGGGAATGGGAGGAAGGAGCTGGTCCATCTGGGGTAGCAGGAACACGGTATTTGGCAAGTCCAAGTGAGAGCTACAGCTCCATGTCTCGGTTCGATTCTCCCGAGTTTGAGAGAGGGTTTCGTCAAAGAATTGTAGAGAGGAGGCAGGCGTTATCTCGCCACATCTTCACTGGTTTGGAGGATATGGAGTTCTCACCCTATGCTGCAAATGTTGCGGATTATCTTGATGAGAGAGGTTTTGAACAACTGCTGGAGCAACTTGCTGAGTCTGACAATTCAAGAAGAGGTGCACCACCTGCATCTGTGTCATGCGTCACGAGTCTTCCAAGGGTTACCATCGGGGAGGAGCATGTAAACAAGGGCCTAGTCTGTGCGGTTTGTAAAGAGCTTTACAGCCTCGGCACTGAAACCACGCAGCTTCCATGTCTCCATCTGTACCATGCTCATTGTATTGTACCTTGGCTAAGTGCCCGTAACTCCTGCCCACTCTGCCGGTACGAGCTCCCAACAGATGATAAAGATTACGAGCAAGGAAAGCAGAATGTGCTGGATGCGAGCGAGGATAGCTCCTCTGGTGATGATGATGATGGCACAGAAGCCGGGGAAGAGGTCTATCTAGAGATAGGCGGGAGTGAGGCCGGTGTGAGCAGAGTTAGCAGAGGAAGATGGCTCTTTCTGGCTGCTGCACCAGTTGTGAGTCTGGTGGGCGTTGTGTTGGCAGTGTGGCTAAGCAACCCGCAGAGGAGGGATATGGTAATCTCTCATAGCCAAAGGGAAAACAGGACCAGAAGATGGCTGCCGTTCTTCTGACAACCAGTTCTAAAAGGTGCTTGAGTTCCTGCTTCTATTTCATCTCCTCGGTATTATTAACTTGTGCTTTGTACTGCTGTGTCCACATGTTAGCTGAATTGAAGTTTAACTAAAGCTGTGGTGTGTGTCGTGTGTTGCAAATGTTTTTAAGGCTATTTTTGATAACAAGGGAGTGTGCTTATGTGGCATCAGTTGATAAAGAGTTATAAACTCGCATTTACACAAGAAAGAAATAAATAAAGAAAATGACTTTTGGTTGGTTTAGGCACATATGAGATGCCCCTGTATTTACACCAAAGCATAATTAAGAGATTTGTGTAGTGGCAGATGAATGTGAAAGAAGAAGAAGAAGAGTTTCAGAAGAGTATGTTGATATACAGTACCATCCATCCAGCCATTGAGAAGATGGCAAAAATGTGAACCCAGAAGAGCACTGCAGCTGACTCCCTTCCACAGCCTCTAAGGTTGGCAACAGCTCCTGAGAGCACAGAGGTAGGCATTGTGTGCTGAAGGAGTAACACAAATCTGAACATCTTGTCATCAGCAGGAAGGAACCCAAGTTTGTCTGCTAATGTCACAATTCCTAGTCCTACTGGTGGCACCAACACCAACCGTCCAAATATTATTGCCGCTGTTGTCTTGAAACCAAGCTTTGAACTTCCCGGTCCTGAGATTTATGCAAGGCACCAGTAAGTTCCATTGATGGGCTCAGAACAAAGTCAGTATGAAAAGGGAGCAACCACCCTACCGTTAATGAGATTCCCCCCAAGTGCCAGCAAGATACACGGTATCATGGCGTCCCTGATGGCCAATGGTTTTTCAGTTAGTAACTCACTGATTCGCAGCTGTTTCCCAGAGAAACAAATAAAGAGTGTGCTTACCCAAGAATCATGCAGCTGTCTGTAAAGAAGAAAAGAGGTGCACCATTTGTGAATATCAACTTCTTCGTGAAAGGTATTGCACCAAGTATCATGGCAAGAATCTGAAGTAAACAAAAACACTTGTAGTTTTGTTACATGGTAAAGGCAATCACATGGTCTCTTGTTCATCGGATTGTCAGTTAGAACAGACGAGATACTTACTGAAGCAACTATTGCAGGCTGGACAATTTGCTTAAGTTTCAACTTCTCGTAGAGGAAAACAAACATCTGTGCAATCTATATCACGGAGCAATATAAGTATACAAATTCGTAAGGACCGGCTTTATATCTGGTAACAATACACCTGAACCATAAAAATAGAAATCCAAAATTGCATTTTTACCTTGCCTTTTCTTGTATCCCCTCTTCCTCTGGTTTCGGTGCTCTGTAGAGGCAGGCGAACTTGAGCAGGCGAAATGTCCTTGGGGTGATTTTGAGCAAGCAAGGGGACTTGCTCTGGAGCAGCATCTACTGGGAGATTTTTCAAAGGAAGGTTTTCTTCTTCACCATCAAACCCTTCTGGAGGAGGAGCAAACATCTGGTACACATATGTGTAGAGGATGATGGCACCAACCTGACAGAAACGTTAAACACCAACCTCGTCGTTAATCATCATGGAAAGAAGAGGATATATATCCAACTCTCAAGACAGATAGTAGATTGGAAGTAAAGATCCTATATAAGATAGTTGCAATGCGGGATGCGGCTACTGTTCTCATACATGTAGCTCCTCTTCATCAAACAGAGAAGGCAAAAGCCAAGAAACTGTGCAAAGACATAAAATTGAGTAGCTAATGCGACTGATTCTAGTAAGTATAATAGCTAACAGAGTATATTATAAGACTATAGAGGCAGTTATTAGAGAGAGAGAAGAGATAAGCGTACCCATTGACCAAAAGAGATATAAGCAGTGCCATCAATGCTACATTTATCTGAGTCACCAAAAGGGTTGGAGGTGTCCCTACATAGAGCCGCTAGTAGAACAAGAGGGACATTGCCAATGTTACCTGAAACAAACAAGGCAAACAGAGTGAGAGTAGCAGTCAGAGAGCAGATAAGCGAGGCTAGGGTATCATGTGTCATAGGCCAAAAGGGTCTAACCAACTCCGATTTGTATGATTGTGAACTTGAAATAAGGGTAAGGCGGACGAATAACGGTAGCAACAAGGAAGCCGATTAACGAGCCTGAGATTGTACCAAGAACGACGTTCACGGGAATGAACCACCTGATAGATGAGAGAAGATGACGGCTTAAAGAGAGCAACCTATGGGACATGGTCTTAGAGAATAGAGAGAGTAGGAAAACAAACCACTGAAGCATTTTGTGGAGAGTGACGGCTTGTCCGAGCTGGGAAAAGATCAAGCAGGGGAGCAAAAGCGAGAAGACCAACTGTATGAAAGGTTCAGACTTCAGAGTTCAGAGTTTGAGAAGAAGTCGGTGTTGAAAAAAAAGCGTCGGATGAAATTAGGAATTACCCCGTTCAAGAGTTTGCGGCCAGAGGGAGGCAAGATGTTGACGTACTTGGAGGCCATCAGAAGGCCCAAGAAGCACATGGTGAAAACTTTGGCAATTGGCATCACCGCGATTTTGATGGTACCCAGCACCGATTCACCGGCAGCCACCGGAATCTCCATGGAATCGGCCAAGCCTGCTAGGATCCGCGCTATCATTCTGACAATCCCTTATCCCAACCCAAGCCAAAACCTGCAATTTCAAAGGTTGGAATCTGGAGAGGGTAGAGACAACAGAGAATTGATAGGAATCAGAGACTTCTCTCGAATTTTGCTTTGACTCTCTCTCTCTCTCTCTCTCTCTCTCTCTCGCTCTTTGTTGTGCTTGCCACGTGCCTCTTGCCTTCCTATTTACTCCTTTCCCTTTCTAAGCCCAAAAGGCCCGCCCGATTCAGTTACCTTTTACCCTTTTGGCTTAAGAGTTTACTCAAGTTTTAATAAAAGTTACGGCGATTACCAAAATAATTAAAGCAGTTGCCGGCTAAGATTGACATGTCATAACTTCAAATGTTCAAGATTGTATATATAGAAGTAGGCATGAGTTATGATTCATTTTGAAGTTTCAAAATATTATATCCATGAAACAAAAGAGAGCGCACATGCATATTTGAATATGTAAGATCACGATATATGCAGTGTAGTCGAGTGGTTTGTTGTAGTTGGGAAACGCGCGTGTATGTGTCAATTGTCATATAGGCTACGATGAAAAGTGATCGATACTTTGATAGCTTGTCTTAATTGGACGTGTTCAGTCACAACGGGGTGATAGATGATGCCAATTGGATTGGACCCAACACCCAAATATTCGTTTATACATTATGTGTGAAAACCCCACCAACAAAGCTTTTCTATAGGCTATAGCCTATAGCCAAACACTTAAATATATTTACAAAAAAAAAGTTATTAAGTTTGTAGACGGGAGAGAGAGGAGGAGGCATTGCAGTAAGCTATGGCTGCCTTGAGGGAGTCGTCCGTTAAGGTTTCCTCGCTGTAACTAGCGCTATCTTCGCAGTAGTAATGTAGTGAGGTCTTGTTTCGTCGTCCGTGTATAACTTTGAGGACCCACTTCTCTCCCACGTTCACTTTCTCCCTTATGACTCCCACTATACTCAAACACCCCAGTTTCATCACCAACCTTGTCACGCTGCTGTATGCAGCGAAGCAGCTAGATGCCGATGAGAAGATCGCTGCCGCCTGCATTTCACTCCCGGGAGATGGAGAAGAAGAAGATGAGATGCTCAGTTCGGTGACTGGTTTGTTGTTGATCTGTATTTCGATGAAAGATTCATCATCGTCGCTGCTCTCCGAGACTTCATTCATCCATCCCACTTTTTTCTCTCTTTGGTGGTCCATCCTTTTGGTTACCGGAACACTTTGCCAAAACTCCCTCTACCTCTACTATGCCATATCATATGATATGTATAACATGTGATCTCCTGCTCCTAAATAATTTCCATCATTGATTAGTTAACAATAATTAAATATATTCAAACTGATACAGCTAGCTAGCGCAGCTCACAACTCAACACCATACATATATATATCCTGACGTCTGAGAGCATATATATGCATGTGAACACAATATCAGTCTATGCAATTATTATTATCGTTGGATCAAATCAAAGCTGTCGATGGGATCGGGGGATTAATTAGTGGTATGATTACATGGGAGTCTTTAATAATACTGTATGGTTTGGACACTTACATGGCCCACCAATCACTCACTGATCGCCTATATCTCTTTGCGAATCACATGCGTGTTTTTTATTCTTCTTCGTATTTTCTTTCTTTCTAACTCTGGAAGGGTAATTTCACTTAACAACTCCAAGGCACGTTACTGAAACTCGTTACAAATATCACTCAGCTGTTGTCTATTTCATATTTCCACATCACAATCTCCTAACCCATATAGGATTGTCGGTCCTGTTATGATTTTCCTTCTATGCAAGTCATCTTTTACGCAAGCGTTACAACGACTCCATGCACACTAATTAAGGTTGAGGAGAAGTGAGCCTGATTTGGTAGAGTGGTGTCATCTGCTCTGCCATTAAATATAGGCAAAGTGTATACATAGCACCGATGCCAAATCATAATTTCAACTAAGAATGGACTTGGCCAGGAAACAATTAGACCGAGTTTTGGGAGACATTTCATAGTTGTTGTTCGAGCTGAAGATAAGGGATTGTGGCCAGTGGTCAGTGGTCACGCATCAATTTTTTGTTTGTTTGTGATAAGTACGGCTTCGTAAATATGGGGAATAAGGTGTCTAGGAGCCGCCGAACATCTGGCGGAAGACGTCGTCTCCAACGCCTTCTTTTCTGATCAGCTCACCCACTTTCCTCTGTTTAGCGTCGTACACGTTAAATAATCAAAGGCCCAGTAATGGATAAAAAGGAGACAATGATAGCCTGTAATAAATAATGAAAGGCCCAGTAGTGATAGAAAGGAAGATGGGCTTCGAATAAGCCTATTACGGAAAGATGCCGGAAGAGCGAATGAATATCCATCCCCCTTCTCCTCCTTCCTTTGTTCTTCATTTTCAATTTAGTCTTCTCTTCGCCGGCACAGAGAGAAAATAGACTTGGCCTTGTTGGTGTTGCATGGAGTGTGAGTGAGTAGATACTAGATAGATCGCGCAAGGATTTCGAACATGGCGTCTACGGAAGGCCTTGTGCCCATCACCCGGGCTTTTCTCGCTTCCTACTACGACAAATATCCTTTCCCTCCTCTTTCCGACGACGTTTCTCGGCTTTCCTCTGACATGTCTTCTCTTATCCAGCTACTAGCCCAACAATCTTCTCCTTCACAAGGTTCCCGATCCGATGATATCACCAATTTCGATTCTGCTTTTGAATTTATCTCATTAATTTTGTTATCGTTCGCCTTCTAGGGGAAACTTGCCTGATCGACGAAGCTAACCAGCCGCCTCCTCACAAAATTGATGAGAATATGTGGAAAAATCGTGAGCAGATGGAGGAGATATTGTTTCTTCTGCAACCATCTCGTTGGCCTGTTCAGGTGAATTTCAGTTTCGTTTTGTCCCATCCATGTTCCCTCTACTTCCCGTGACATCTCTCTCTCTCTCTCTCTGTTTGTTTTGCGCTCGCTCAGCTCCGGGAACCTTCCACATCTGAAGATTCTCAACTGTCTTCTATATTGCGAAATCTCAAGGACAATTTTGATAACGCATTGACTGCTCTGATTTCCTTCCAGACCAAAAATTCCGAGCGCGTATTCAGCACAGGTTCATTCGCGGACACTGTCAGAAACAGCGCCATTTTTGAATCGAGTATTGATGTTTTTTCTTCTTCTACAGTTATGACCTACATGCCTCAAGATTTCCGGGGAACGCTCATCAGACAGCAGAAGGAGAGGTCGGAGAGGAACAAACAGGCGGAGGTCGATGCGCTGGTTAGCTCTGGAGGGAGCATACGCGATACGTATGCTCTTCTTTGGAAGCAGCAGATGGAGAGGTAAGCCTGCATGTTTTTATTTTCTTCATTAAAGCTTAAGCTGTGGCTAGCTTTGAGAGAGTCTTCTTTGACCCTTTTATTTTTGTTTTTGTTTTTTGTACAGGAGGAGACAGTTGGCTCAGTTAGGCTCTGCGACTGGTGTTTATAAAACCCTGGTCAAGTACTTGGTTGGGGTTCCACAGGTAGGCGTACCCATCTTTATTCTTTTTATCATCACTTGTCCTCATACTCATGCGCCTATGACATATGGCTTGTCCACTCTTGCTCTTGCTCTTGCATATTCGTGCATAGAGAAGATTGATTTTCGTTGTTGTATTTTGTTCCTTTCATACCTTGTAGGTGTTGTTGGACTTTATTCGACAAATAAATGATGATGATGGGTATGTACCATGTTGTTATTTGAAAAATTCAATTGAGTATTTTGCTTATGGTTGCATAAGTAACTTTTGCTGACATAATTAATCTTCTCGTGTAAAGGCCAATGGAAGAACAGCGAGAACGTTATGGACCTCCTCTATATAGTCTCACAAAGATGGGGATGGCAATCCGGGTTTTCCTAACACTTCTGTGGGAAAGATATGATACCTTCAAACTGTAAGATAATTGGATAATATTTTCCTCAGTTTTTGTTTCTCCTTGTTAAAGTAAGATTGCCTTCAATTCACACAAGTCAATAATCACTGAGCTTGTTCAAGTGTTCATGGAATTTTTCAGTGAACTTTCTCCTTTAGTGCTAGTGAAATTTTTAATAAAATTTATATGTGAGCTGAGCAGGAACAGAGACCAAATAAATATTCTGTCTGAAGCTGCTATTGCCTACACATCTGAGTTTGAAAGATTCGTCACATTTATCAGGTACCACCTTCCATTCGTTATAGGAGCTTGGTCATCTGTGCTATATCTTCTGTTTAGTATAGGTTGCTAGTTGCTACTCATCTACTGGATAACGCAAACATCGGGGTAGAGTTCAGTTTTGTAACTTTCGCGCTGCGGGACAATTTCATTGATGTAAATTTTAGGGCTTGTTCTCCTTCGTTTCGTTTTAGTATTTTTCAATATTGTTTTTGGTCTGTCAAGATTGTTGCTAGTATGTAAGACATGCTATTAAGCTGTAGAGTCTTAAAGTAATAAGTCTAAGTACTGGACATTCTCCTTAAATTAGCTAGTCTTGTGTTATTTAAAATTTTACCAGTCTTGATTAAAATTTTATTCCACAGCTCCAACATTACTTATGTTAGACGTCTTTATGCATTGCTTTCTCACTAATGAAGATCATTAACGTTTTCCTTTATGCATTTCCAGCGATGTATTTGCCAATTCTCCCTTCTTCATTTCAGCTGATACAGCTGGCATATTGGGCTCAAGGTTAGCTTACATCATTCACAGGATTCTCACTTCAGTTCACGATTTCTAGCTCTAAAAATTTGTACTTCTTAGGGAAAATGAGGAGTACAAGGAGATAATCGTTCAAGCTGGGAGAACCTATGAGGTAAAATCTTCTCCTCAGATTCTTTTGTTTATTACCGAAACTGAATGTTTTACCATTCTTCAACTCTGTACACTAGTTCCGTCTGAAATTGTTGTGCTAAAAAAAGTGAAGTAATGTTAATGACAATAGTGTGTGGCATTCACATTTTGTGGTGGCAAACAAAAAATTCAAATCGTATGATAAATTGTTACGTTTGGAATCGGCGCAAGTACATCTATGTTATATATATATCCATGTTGATATTTGTTCTTGTTGTTTCCGTAGGTCTCATTGATGGTGGAATCCGAAAATTCATATATTGCTTGGGATTTTTCTTTGATGCAAGGCAAGATAAGCATGGTATTATTTCATAAACCCTCGTCCCAATTATGTACCCTCAAGTCATTTGATTGCTTTTCTTGCTTCCCTCTTCAGAATTTGTTTGAAACCGTAGGGGCTACTGTTACTGTTCAAGGATTGATGAAGAATTGTGTTCTTTAAAATTATAACCTGTTACTGTTTGTTCAAGAATATGGGTATCTTTTTTGTCACACTTAGTTTACGGCCTATCTTGCTCTGTGATGAATATTTCATGTGAAAGACAGTCAGGAATCGCTGTTTCTTGACACGGGATGGGATCTAAGCTAGGTCGCACCTCACCCTCTCATTTAATTCCTATTGTTATTTTCCCAGGATATTGGATTTAGCGTGGAGTATATAAGTGCTTCAGGGGAAAAGACTGTGAGTGTGCTCATTAGTTTCCAAAATGTCGTTAAACTTTAAAATATTTATTCAACTAGTGATTTCCGAGGGTCGTTTATGAATTTTTCTTATTGCAGCTCATATTACCTTACCGTCGGTATGAAGCTGATCAGGTGAGTGGATATGTGGGTAAGCTTATGTTTTTTCGCTGTTGTTGTTGCATAGCTGTGTTGTTTGATGTCATCGTTTTGGGTTATTCCTGCAGGGCAACTTCTCTACGTTATTGGCTGGAAACTACAAACTTGTTTGGGATAATTCATATTCAACTTTCTTCAAAAAGGTATAGTGATCGTTACCTTTTGCGGTAGACAAAGTGAATCAGTATCCTTTTTAGACTCCTTTTCCATTGCTTCCACAAAAGATGGATCTTTTCACGGGCTCTGTTTTCTTTTTCTTCTTTGTGATATAGACTCTTCGATATAAAGTGGATTGCATACCACCAGTAGTGGAGCCCGTGGAAGATGAAGGTGGATTACAGTCATGAACACCATCATTTGGTTGTACAAGGACAACACTCTGAACCCTTTGAAAGACATCAATGAAACTTCTTTAAGTATCTGTTGTGATCGTTGCAGAGGAGGAAGTGAAAAGTGGCCATGGAAAGGATATTTGTTTGCCGCCTTTATGTACTGTGTTCACTTAGTTCATATGAATGGTGACAGAATCTACATGAATTTGCATAGCAGTTGAAAACCCCTGTCTTTATTAAAACAGAGGATATTGCTCTTGGATTTGGCATTACTCACAAGTGCATCCTTCTTCAAGGGTCAAAGAGTGGTTCCTCTTCCTTTATATTATGGTTGTCCATACTTTCTTGCTTCTGTTTTAACCAAACTATATACTAATTGAACTTAAGAGGGACGGGTTTTGTTCACCAAAAGCTCCATTTAATACACAGCAGTATGATGATTTTCTCACGTCCTAAAGACAACAGAGTTTAACACGTCTCATTCAACAAAGCTTTTTTTTTTTTTTTTGGGTAGCTTTTACTTATGAGTAACAAAGAAACAAAGCTTTCTTCAAATCTTTTCTAAAATATTATAATTCGCGATTTTTTCATTCATCACAACTCGTAAATCTTCATGCAGAAAGTCTTGTCTTTAAGAAGCCTGGAGGTGTATATCCACAAGTATCCCAAATTGAAAGGGAGAATGGTGGACGGCAGTAGTCAGTAGAGTAACAGCACCTGTTGTGATCAATAAGTTGTGCTAAAGAATAATAACATATTCTTCCAATTTTTTAAAAAATTGTTAGTGTTAGCCCACAAATATTAGCAAAATTGATAGATCTTGAGTTTTCTAAATAAATGATTAGAAGGTGTTTAAAGTGAAAATAAATTGATCCAACCATTTGTCATAGTAAAATAGTATCTAAGAAAAAATAATAACATATTATTCCATTTTTTATAAAATTTGTCAAAACTCGAAGGTGTTAGCCAACAAATATTGGAAAAATTAATAAATTTTGAGGTTTTTCTAAATTTATGATTGGAAGGTGTCTAAAGTAAAAATAAATTGATCAAACTATTTTCATAGTAAAAGGGTATCTAAGAAAGATTAATAACATATTATTTCAATTTTTTCAAAATTTGTAAAAACCCGTAGGTTAGCCCATACATATTGACAAAATTGATAAATTTTGAGGTTTTTCTAAATTAATGATTGGAAAGTGTTTAAAGTAAAAATAATTTGATGTAACCATTTTTCACAGTAAAAGGGTATCTAAAAAAGAATAATAACATATTCTTCTATTTTCTTCAAAATCTGTCAAAACTCGTAGGTGTTAGTCCACAAATATTGGCAAAATTGATAAATTTTGAGGTTTTTCTAAATTTATGATCGAAAAATGTAAAAATAAATTGAACCAATCTAAGAAAGACTAATAACTTATTATTTCAATTTTTTCAAAATTTGTAAAAACCCGTATGTGATAGCCCATATATATTGGCAAAATTGATAAATTTTGAGGTTTTTCTAATTTAATGTTTAGAAGATGTCTAAAGTAAAAATAAATTGATGCAACCATTTTTCATAGTAAAAGGGTATATAAGAAAGAATATTAACATATTATTCCAATTTTTTCAAAAT